GAAAATACTGTACAGATGGGTTACAGTTACACGAGCAAGGTAATGAGTATATAACAAAATAATGATTCCTCAAAGAAAACCTGTAGGTACAAGAGAGGACAGAGGTCATATCTAGAAGACATTGGTACATAGAGACAAGATATGCTTACTTAAAGTGACATTAGTAGTCAGGTTTCATCAATTTTTTAGGTTAGGCTTACATACAGAACAGATGGGTACATTGCTACAGTGTCCTCATTCCTTCGAGTATCTACAGGTTCACCCCAGCCTCCTATTTTGTTCTTGAACTCAATGCATGGGCATTGTCCTTTTAGCTTTTTCCCTCAAGGCTAGCACTACAATATACCACTTGAGGCACAGCTCCCTGCTAGCCTTTTGGTGGTTAATTGAAGATAAGAGTCTCACAGACTTTCCTGCCCAGGCAGGTTTGGAACCACCATCCTCAGATCTCAGCCTCCTGTGTAGCTAGGATTACAAGTATGAGCCACTTGTGCTTAACTTTACAATGTTTAAGGAGTAAAATCAAGAATTTCTGACAACTGGAAGGGATTATAATGGAGATATTAGGGATGGCACGGTGGAGTTGTGGAGGAAGACGAGGAATTAATATGATTAACTTTGAGACACTCTAAGCTCTCGTTCTATCTAAAAGTGTACTTAATAGCTGGGTGCCGGTGGCTCATGCATGTAATCCTAGCTACTCAGGAGGCTGAGATCTGAGGATCATGGTTCAAAGCCAGCCCAGGCAGGAAAGTCCATGAGACTTTTAATCTCAGTAAACCACTAGAAAACCGGAAGTGGCGCTGTGGCTCAAGTGGCACTCACCTTGAGCTGAAGAGCTAGGGACAGCGCCCAAGCCCAGAGTTCAAGCCCCATTACCGACAAAAAAAAAAAAAACCAAAACAAAAAACAAAAACATAAAAGTATACTTAACATATGACTGCATACTCTAACCCTAACTCAATGTAGCTAATACAAGAGTTCAGAAAGGCACAAAATGTCAAAGGAAGAAAACAAAACATTCAAAGAATCCCTTTATTCTAAGCCCTGAAGATTTGCCAACCCTTTCTTCAAAGGCTAACATTGTTTTTTTTTTTTTTTTTTTTGGGGGGGGGGCGGTCGTGAGGCCTGCACTCTGGGCCTGGGCGCTGTCCCTCAGCTCTTCAGCTTAAGGCTAGTGCTCTACCACTTGAGTCACAGTGCCACTTCCGGCTTTTTTCTTTTTGCTTATGTGGTGCTGGGGAATTGAACCCAGGACCTCATGCATGCAAGGCAAGCGCTCTACCACTGAGCCACCTTCCCAGCCCCATGGCTAACATTGTTTACCTTTGAAGATCTCAATCTGCTACTGTGTTTTAATATTGCAAAGAACTAGGAGATAGAGCTGATGAAGGTTAGGGGAAAGAAATCTGAGGTACAGTTATAAATTTTTTAAAAGTGTATTTCTGAGTACACGAGTTGATAAGGGAATTGGCCTCCTTAGTTTTTCTAGAGCTCTTTTCTGGAAGCATCTAAGGGGAGAGATTGGCCTCACCAATCTCCATCTTTTGTTATTTCAGTAGTTTTTTTTTTCTCTCTCACACCTTCAGAAATGGTGAGAAAAAGGGAAGGAAAAGAGCCAGGATAGCAGGATTTCTGTGAAATTCCACACAGTGTGACAAAGATGAGGAATGGTGTCCTTCAACTTCTGCTAAAGTTTGGTTATAACATCTTGATTTTAGTGTATTGTCTTTGTAGCAATAAAACAGAACTGTAGCCTCTGCATCAAATTTGGTTAGGATTAAAAATAACTTATGTGGTTGGGGATGGAAGAAGTGCCACCATCTCCTTCCTCCTTTTCATTTTGTTGCAGTTTGAATGGAAAAGAGGTGGCTCACATAATTAACCAGAACTGTAATTGGCTGGATGTCTGTTTTAAGCCAATTGTGATGTGTGTGTGTGTGTGTGTGTGTGAAAGTGTGAAAGTGTCCAATTCTTAAGTCTCAGTTATATGAAGGTGGGAAGCAGCTGGTGTGAATGTCTATCTGCAGGGTATATGCACACTAACTTTGATCAATATGGCATGACAGCAAGGTGTTTATTGAAAAAAAAAACAGTTATCTCAATCAGTTTTGCACTCCAGTCTATAAGTTCTTCATCTTCACCACTTTAACAAAACAAACAAAAGAGGAGAAAAGGAAAAGCCGAACTAGTGTTAACAAAAGATTTTGAGATTTTCTTCATCCATCTCTAGTAAAGGTGAATTGGTAATGAATTAAGTAGAGTCTGAATGGACCACACTAACACTTTATCTCCCTCCACAACTCAACTGTCCTCCTTCTAAAACCACTATTTTATTAGCTGTCATAATTTCTTTCAGTTTTCAGAATTTCTTAATCCATCCCATTTGGAGTGACCACCCAGTTCTGCTTTACCTACCTTAAAAGCATCTGTACTTCTGGCCATGCCTGGAATCTTAACTACTCAGAAGGCTGAGATCTGAGGATCCTTGTTGAAAGCCAGCAGAGCAGTACCCTCTGATCTCCAGCAAAAAGCCAGAAATGGGGCTGTGGCTCAACTGATAAAGCACTAGAGCCTTGAACAAAGAGGCTCTGGACAGTACCCAGGCCAGAATTCAAGCCCCTGAAGTGGCACACACCACGCACAAAAGCATGTGTACTTTTACTTATTCTTGTATTTGTTATACATATAATGCATGTCTACTATATGCCATGTACTCTGCTAGGCACAGAGGACACAATGACAAATAAGGCAGGCATACTTTCTACTATCCAGTGGGGACCCAGACAAGATATAGCTGAATAGGTGATTCTGGTGAGGAAGCTATAAAACCTTCAAGAAAAGAAGCCTGGGGGGGGGGGGGAGGGGGGAAAGGGGAGGGAAGAAGAAGGATTGGGATTGGGGGGGAGGGGGGAGGCTGGGAAGGGATGTGAAGGGTAAACCAAAGGAGGAGGATGCAATGCTTGGCAAGAAATGTACGCATTATCCTTCCCATGTAATTGTAACCCCTCTGTACAGTATGTTCACAAATAAAATAAAATTAAATTAAAAAAAAAAAAAGAAAAGAAGCCTAACTTTGGGTTGTCAGAGAAGACTTCACAGTGTATTCATAGTTTGAGACATTAAGGTCCACAAAAATGTAGCCAGAAGAATACTTTCAATATATGTCATTCAATAGATTTTTATTGGACACTGACTATAAGCAGGCCTTTATGCTGGACTGCAGAGGCAGAAAGAGACATACCATATGGGGTTTGGACAGACATGAGAATATAGGTACAAAGTATCTATCTGTAAAACTATCAATAGAGTCTTCTAAAGAACAACTTTCCTGTGTTGAGGGTATTGAAAGGTTTATGAGTTTCCTCCTAAAAAGTCCCGCCAGCAATTGCTCTGGCGTATCCAGTGTTCTTCCAGCTGCCCAGAACCTGAGCTCAAGTGATTGTGAGGATGGCCTTCTTCCATCATTTGCCTGTGGGTCTCTACAGGTTTCATAATGCAGCCACAGAACCTTGATGGAACAGCTGGGTTAATTAAAGGTTACACTAAAGGAAGAGGACACTAAAACCATCAGCTGAGATAGTCTTCTATACATTCATTTGATGTTAGTTGTTCCCAGAAGTGCCTGAGACAGATAAAAATCTACATATGGAGGTTTCACTTGAGTATTGGAGATAGACCAGAAAATACGTAACATATATACTGTCAATGTAATGAGAGGCAGAGGAAGGGGGAAAAAATGTTGAGATTTCTGACAACTTTTCTGGAAGGTTTCTCTGTAGGATCACTCTGAGGAAAGTGGTACATATTTGTGCTGAGACTTGAGGAATGGGAAAGCGCTGGTTTGGGAAAAAAAGGCAAAATAGAATTACAGCAAGAGACCAGTGTGGACTGTGTAGAGTGGCGCTTGTTTGTAATTCTAGCTACTGGGAGATCAGCCTGGGCAAAAAGTTACTGAGCCGACAGTTCAATCAATAGCTGGGAGGTGATGTGCACCTATCTCACGGGAAGTCCGGGCGAAAACTTGGGACACTGCTGGAAAATAAAAACAAAAGGCATTGGAGGTGTGGCTCCAGTGGTAGTGTCTCTGCTGGCCAGACCAGACCACCCCTTCCACCAATACCACACCAACTAAACAACAGCCACAAACCAAGGCAAAAGGGGCTAGGTGGCTCACATTTCAGAGTGTAGCCCGAAGCTAAGTTCAGATCCCACTGATGTAACTGCATAAACGAGACCCAGGGGTCCTCGGCCCTCCCTCCCCTGCCCGCTTCCTCGGCCTGGTCCTAGCCCAGGGACTGGCTGGAAGGCAACCCTTGGTAAATGAGCTCGGCTTCCCATGCAGACGCTCTGCTGGTCACCGCCACTGTCCAGGAATGCAATTCTGCGTCTTTAAAGAACGACGGGCCACCGGATGGATTATTAATCCAGAATCCTTTGTTTTCTTTTCCTGTCGAGTCACCTGCTTTATGTTTCCAGAACATACCGTTCTGATCCTCAATTACACCGAGGTCACGAGGCCGCCGGACGGTTTCAGAGTCACCGGTGCCGTCGCTTAGAATCTCAGAGTCGGCGGCCCGCGGACCCCGGGGCTCCAGCGGCCCAGGGTGCTGGCTCCAGGATGACGTCACTCGGAGGCAGGGGGCGCCGCGCGGGGCGTGACCTCACCGGGGCGGGCCGGCCCGCCTGACGTCAGACGGTGGGCGTGGCCGGGGCCGAATCCCCAGTGTCGTCACGGGAGGGGGCGGGCCTAGAGCGTGTCAGCGCAGCCGAATCAAAACAAGCCCGAGACCCGCCTTTTCCCCCTCGGCTGCCGAGCGCCTCGCTCGCGCCCCGGGCCCGCGGCGCCCGCGCGGCTGCGAGCTTCGGGTGGCCGCGCGCCGGCTCCAGGACGCCGGGGAGGGCGCGGCGGCCGGCATGGCGCGGCGCGACGCGGGCCGCGCGGTTAGACGGGGCTCCTGAGGAGCGGGCGGCGGCCCCCGCGGCGCCCTCCCGGAGCCGCCGAGGCGCGGGGCGGGCGGCGACCCGGCGGAGGGGCGCCGCCTTCGCTGACGCCGGGCACCTGGGCGCGGGCGCGCGGGCGACATGCCCAACCCCAAAACCAGCAAGGGCGGCCGCAAAAACAAGCGCGCCAACAGCAGCGGAGACGAGCAGGAAAATGGAGCCGGGGCCCTGGCGGCGGCGGGCGCGGCGGGCTCGGCGGCCGGCGGGGGGGCCCTGGCGGCGGCGGCGGCGGCGGCCGGCGGGGCGGCGGCCCCGGGCGCCCCGGGCCCCGGGGGCGCGGCGGGCACCGGCGGAGCGGGGACGGGCGGCGCGAACGCCGGGGCCGCCGCGGGGGCCGCAGCCGCGGGCGACGCCAAGAACGGTAAGCCGGGGGCCGGCGGGGCGGACGTCAACTTCCTCCCCGACGGGGACGGCGCGTCGGCGGGGCCCTGGGCGGCGCGGGCGGCGCGTGGACAATGCGAGTCAGGAAGTGCCCACCCTGCCCGGCCGCCGCGGCCCCCCGGGCGCTGTCCGCGCCGGGCGGCGGGGGGTCGGGGCTGCGGGGACACTGGGTGCTCAGACTCCGAGGGGCGCCCGGCGTGCCCGGTGCGGCTGCCCGCGCGGCTCCGGCCAACCCGCGTGCGTGCCCGGGGCGGCAGGGAGGGAGCGTGGGAAGGAAGGAAGGAAGGAAGGGAGGGAGGGAGGGCTGCCCAAGTTGGGAAGCGAGATCCGATTGAAAACTTGAGGCGCCGATTCATTATTTTTGCCCCCCTCCCCTCTCCCGTGAAGGAGAGCCCCCCAGGGCCCGCACCTCCAGGCTGGCTGCGTGGATTGCCACCGGTGTGTGCGGCGAAGGCGTGGGTGGGTGGGGAGGGGGTGCTTTCTAATTCTCTGGCTCGCTTGAGGAAGGAAGAGAATCTGAAGTTGACTTCCGTTCCCAGCCCGGAGTGGAGAAAAAAAAATGAAAAAAGTCATCTGCTCCACACGTTTAGAAAGAAGCCTAATAACCGTAGGCAGTGCCCGAAGGTCCCTTTTGGAGAGAGACGGCGGGAATGTGGCCGAGCCGTGGCCGGGTCTCCCGTCCTTGCTGCTGAAACGTGGTTGGACAGGGCGCCGAGCACTCAGGTGGACAGTTCTTGGAGGTCCTCTGGACCAGGCAGTTTTTCAGGGGGAGAGTATGTAGGTGGATTTTAATGAAGGCACACCAGGAGAGTTCTCTCTGGCTTGTTAGAAGCCATACTCCACGTGGACCAGTCACTTTATGTAAACAGGGCACCTGCTCTTCCAAGAACCCCACAGTGCTTCCACCCTAGAAGATTGGATGTCACCTATGGGGAATGATTGGCCGTGTCTCTGCAGTTTTGAAGTAGGATTAAGTTACTTTCGGGAATCACCTTAACTCTCTTTGTGAGATGTTTGCTAATACTTCTGGCCAGGTTGTATTCTCCGCTTTATTTTGCATTCTTAGCTCTAACCTTCCTTTAGATGTTGATAGGGCAAGAGAGTAGGTACTCTGACTTACTGGATAAGATAGACTTCTTCTGGTCCAGCCATTTTAAAGAGATTGGACACCTTGGGAAAGGCAGTGGTCCTGGGCCTCAATTTCCTGTATGTAAGAGAAGAAAAAAAAATGACAATTACCCTCTCAGAAGTTTATTAAGAGGCTTCCTTCTCTTGCCAATTGCCAGGTTTTGTTTTTCTGGTTTCACTGTTACATTTCACAAATGCATATGAATTACTTAGACCATATTCTCCTTCACTGTCTCCCTTGGCTCTCTTCCCTCCTACTGGTACCTGCCACTCCCCCTATCTGAGCCTGTGTTACTTTACTGTCATTCTTTTTTTTTGAAATTTAATTTTATTGTCAAGGTGATGTACAGAGGGGTTACAGTTACATATGTAAGGTAGTGAGTACATTTCTTGTTGAACATTGCTGTCAGTCATTTTTAAAAATGATTTTTTAGCTAGGTGCTGGTAGATCATGCCTGTAATCCCAGCTACTCAGGAGGCTGAGATCTGAGGATCTCTATTTGAAGCCAGTCTGGGCAGGAAAGCCCATGAGACCCCAAATTAATCACCAGAAAACCAGAAGTGGCACTGTGGCTCCAAGTGGTGGAACGCCAGCCTTGAGCACATGAGTTCAGGGACAGCATCGCCCAGTCCCTGAGGTCAAGCCCCATGACTGACAAAAAAACAAACAAACCATTTCTTAGTGTATAGTCATTGCACAAAGATTTCACCATGGCATTGTATACAAGCATATATTATACTTTGGTAAGATTGATCTCCTCCACTGCTCACTTCCTTGCTCCTCATTATCTTAAAAGCTATGGGTAATAAATTTAGTAAAGTTCTTCTCAAATAATAAATGATCAATAAATAGTAATTATTTATTCATTTAAATGTTAGTCACTTATAGCATGACAGGTCCTGAATATTGGGGGACCCAGTGGTACTCTGGGCTGGGTGTCCTGTTCTCATGGAGTAAGCGAATTCCTATCCTGTCCTGGTGACTGTTCAGGCTCCCCAGGCTGGATTTTTGCCCTAGTAAAAGCTTAAGTTAGCTGTTCTCTCTCTTCCTCCTCCCCGTCTTTCTCTTACTCTATCCTTCCCTCCCTTCTTTCCTTCCTTCCTTCCCTCCCTCCTTCCTTCCCTCCTTCCTTCTTTCCTTCCCTCTTTTCCCCCCTCCCTTCCTTCCCTCCCTTCCTCCTTTCTTTTTTGTGGCTCCAGAAACACTGATTTACTTTAAAGTAGTGTGGGAAAGATTTTTTTTTAAGGCAAGTGGTACCTCCTAGCTGGAAAACAATACTCCTTTTACTCCTCTTTGAACTAACAAATGCAGTAGATTTAGCAATATTGTAAATGACTTTTTAAAGCTGTGTATCTCTGCTTGGAAGCTTCCTTTTCTTTCCCCTCCCCTCCCCTCCCCTTCCCTTCCCTTCCCTTCCTTTCTTTCCCCCTCCTTTCCCCCTCCCCCCTCTTCCCCCTCCCCTCCCCCTTTCCTCTTCCCCCTTCCTTTTCCCCTTCCCCCCTTCTTCCTCCCCTCTCCTCTTTTTTCTTTCTTCTCCCTCCCTCTTTCTTCTCTCTTTCTCTCCTCTCTCTCCCTCTCTCGCTTTTTCTTGTTACTTTGAAATAGGGTGTTACGTGGCTCAGGCTGGTTTGAAACTCATATGTAGTCTTAAGTTGACATTGAATCTCATAAAATCCTCCTGCCTCAGCCTTCCAAGTGCTGAGATTTCAGTCTGTGCTCCTATTCCCAGCAGGAGTTTATTTTATTACGTAAATGGGAAAAAAGAAGAAATGGGTTCAAACATTGCCATAATTGGGGTCATAAAGGATGCAAACTTAGAGCAGGGAGGTGAGTTTCATGATACCCATTTCTTGTCTCTAACTGGTGTGATGACTCAGTGAGTGATTTGATCTTAATTTCAAGAACCTATCAGTGTAGTCTGCAGGTCTGCTGAGGTCTGCTTTGTGCAGAGTGAATATGTGCAAATGTTTAAAATATGGTGTGTGGGTGTGGGAGAGGTGGCATTAGTGAGTTTTTATTTGGAAGGACCAATCGCTTTGTAAACTCACAATAAAGGCCTGATTATTTTTGAGTTTTGAATATTAAATCTAGCTTTTATAAGCATATTTTTATTTTAATATTTTTATTATCTTTAAGTAATTGCACAAAAGAGTTGCTATTCCACAAAGCAGTTTATGAATGCAATGCATTTTGATCAGTGCCACTCCTTTCATCATTCCAAATTATCCCTTCCCTTGGTTTTCTTAAATTTGTAGGATATGCATTGAATTTTATGACTGCATGCCCCCTACTATTCATTTGTCTTCCCCCCTCCTTTTGATCCTACCCTCTACCTCTTCTAAAATTTTTATTTTATTTTTATTGTAAAGGTGATGTACAGAAGGGTTACAGTTATTTAGGTAAGGTAATGAGAACATTTCTTATTGAACATTATTACCCCTTCCCTCATTTATCCAGCACTCTCCCTCCCCCTACTCCCCTCTCCAAGTTGTAAAGTTCATTTCTAACATAGTGTCTTGTGATTATTGCTGATGCATTGGTTCACTCCTGTTCTTTGTCTTACCATTTTGTTATTCCCCTTCCCTTCCCCAAATCAGATAAATATATATACAGGACATAGGGTACCAAAATAAAAAACAGCAACAACAGGGGATAAAACAAAGGAAAAAAGAAATAACTTCACATAGTACATTAAAAAAACAAAAAACAAAAAAGCCCTCTTGTTTCCATATCTTGGAGTTCATTTTCATTAGCATCATTTTTTTTTTTTTTTTTGCCAGTCATGGGGCCTGAACTCTGGGCCTGGGCGCTGTCCCTCAGCTCTTCAGCTCAAGGCTCTACCACTGGAGCCACAGCGCCACTTCTGGCTTTTTCTGTTTATGTGGTGCTGAGGAATCGAACCCAGGGCCTCATGCTTGCAAGGCATGCACTCTACCGCTGAGCTACCTTCCCAGTCCTTCCATTAGCATCATTTTATCTGGCCATATGTATATAACTATTGATTTGTGATTCTCTGCTAGGACTATCCTAGACATATAGTAATTATTACAAAAATTACCCTCTACCTTTTGGGTACCAATTTTCTGGTGGTTTTTTTTTTTTGTTGGACTGTGAATATTTTTAAAAACTTAACTCTGACACTAGATATTGTGGTTTTGAATATTTACAAATCAAAAACTATTAACTCTCTCTCCTTCTATCCCCCCCCTCTTTTTAAAGTCTTGTTATAAAGCCCAGGCTAGTCTTTTAACTTGTTTTCTTGTTGAACTTTTAAATGATTTGTTCTCACTGATTAGTTTTTTATCTATATAGTTAAGAATTCATAGAGTGACTTTATGTCTTATAACTGTTGAGCACCAAAGCATAATATTATATTTACTCTTAGTAGTTCATTCCAAGTATCAATAAAACAAGATTGCTAGCTAGGAAAGTTTGGGGAAGATGTTATGGATGTAGTTGAAGAATTCAACTGCTTGCTGTTGTAAAGTATAATAATACTAAATGTAAAGATATTGAACCCTCTAGTAAATTTATTACGTGTGTGTGTGTGTGTGTGTGTGTGTGTGTGTGTGTGTGTGTGTGTGTGTGTGTGTGTGTGTGTGTGTGTGTGTGTGTGTGTGTGTGTGTGTGTACCAGTTCTGGGGCTTGAACTCATTTCCTGGGTGCTGTCCCTGAGCTTTTTTTGATACCAGTCTTGGTGCTTGGAACTCAGGGCCTGGGCACTGTCCCTGAGCTGTTTTCAAGGCTACTTCTCTACCATTTGTGCCACAGCTCCACTTTTGGATTTTTTGGTGGTTCATTGGAGGTAAGAGTCTCGTGGACTTTCCTGCCAGGGCTTGCTTTAAACAGCA